TCTGCAGACCAGTTGAACAATAACTGGCAGGTTGCACAATATGGGGTAACTGCAGGATACATTTTATACCTGCTTATTATTCAGTCCTTCCAGCAAGTTTCCTTGGAAGGTATTTTGTTCTGTAATTGTCCAGTAGGCTATGCAGCACATTCATATTTTGTTTAAACTTGTTTATATACCTGCTCTCAACAGGCTTGGTATCCAAGAACATAGACAGTTGCTTTCTTATATACAGGGTAACCAAAAAAATCGTGATATCATTACAATGTCGAAGAAGTCTTGAAGAAATTATGATATTTCCGTTTGATTATACATTATAGTGTAGTTATCACGACTGTTTGGTCACCCTGTGAACATATACCCCAAGTCACCATCTGCTCCCTCGACCCCATCCCCACCCCTCTCCTTAAATCCCAGCTCCACCTCCTTGCCCACTACTCACCGACATCATTAACCTCTCCCTGTCATCTGGCACTGTTCCTTCCCGCCTCAAAACAGCCACTATCAACCCCACCTTGAAGAAACCTTCCCTCGACCCATCACAGCTATCCAGCTACTGGCCCATCTCAAATCTCCTCTTCCTATCCAAGGTTCTTGAGAGAGCCATTGCCTCCCAGCTTCGCTCTTTCCTCTCCTCTCACTCCCTCCATGAACCCCTCCAATCGGGTTTCCGTGCTGCCCACAGCACGGAAACTGCTCTGGTCAAGGTCACAAACGACATCCTGACCATGTGTGACCAGGGCTCCCTCTGCCTCCTCGACCTCTCCGCCGCCTTTGACACCGTGGACCACTCAATCCTCCTCCACCGCCTCTCCTCCCAACTCAACCTTCAAGGTTCTGTCCTTGACTGGTTCAGGTCCTACCATTCACACCGCCTCCGCTTTGTCATGGCAAACAGTTTCTCCTCCAACCCCCGCACTGTCGTGTGTGGTGTTCCTCAGGGCTCTGTCCTCGATCCCCTCATCTTCACCCTCTACATGCTCCCTCTTGGTGACATCATCCGCAGACATGGGGTAAGTTTTCACATGTATGCGGATGACACCCAACTCTTATCTCTCTGCCTCCACCCTGAACTCCAGGACTACTGAGGTCTTCACTGACTGTCTGTCCGACATCAAGTCTTGGACGAGAGCCAACTTTCTCCAACTCAACATCAGCAATGCCGAGGACCTCCCGATTGGCTCGCACCAGCGCCTCCACACCTCAGGCGCTGGCAGCATCAGCCTCCACAGCTGCACACTCAACCTCACTAAGCCAGACAGGAACCTGGGTGTCTTGTTTGATCCTGAACTGTCCTTTCTCCCCCACATCCGCGCCATGACCGGCAATGCTTAACACCACCTCCGCAACATTGCCAGACTCCGCCACTGCCTCACCCCTCAGGCTGCCGAAACCCTCACCCAGTTCTGTTGTGGACTGCTCTGGTTTGAGTAAAATGCAGAGTTTACATTGAGTGTTGTATATTTACACTTCATTGCAATATGTTGGTTTACAATGAAAGAGTGACTAAGTGCTGGAGCCATTCATAAACATAGTTTGTTTTGTGTATAGGTCTGCAGTTGATAATACATAGTAAACATTGAAGACCATAATAATAATATCCTTTAGATTGCAATGATGATCTCCTCTATTTTCCATCAAACCTATCAGGATTTCAAAATAAATTGTTCTGTCTGTAGCTTGAGTTCTGTTTTGTGCTCGACTCTGTTATGTGCATTTAAAACTAAAGGGGAAAAGTACTCTGAAAAGCAATAGAGTGCTCTGTTAATAGTATCCATCTGTTTTTCCTTTCTATCCTCCTCCTTACCCCGAAGGGCTGGAGCACAGTTTTTGCACCACACGAAAAACGAGACGAGAATTGAGATGTTCTGTTTTTTTTTCTGTGTTACTGTGTACATTTATGTTGATGTACTGCCTTCGGCAGTAATGCAGTGCAGGTTTAGTCTCCAGGATGGTCACTGACGGCACCTCTCATTCCAGCTGATCACCAAGAACTGGCTGCAGTTTTACTTCAAGTGTGGAGCCATGAACCTAAGAGCCTACACCTCTCCACCCTGCATAACTGCAGCACGGTCTGCTTAGCTCAAGTGTATCCCTGAGCCATACTTGGCTCAGCTCCTTGGGATGTCCTCCCAACGTGAAATGTGCTACATCAATGTAAAATTATATTGTACTTAACTATTCAATTCTCTATATGTTACGGCTTCCTATTCTAAGCATGATTGTGTGGTGATAAGTTGCCTTTTGCATGGCTGAAGCCTGAAATAAAGATAGGAAGTGTGGCACCTGGTGGTCAGTGCTTTCACTCAGGCTTTGTTCTGATCCCACTGTACCATCCATTACACAGAACTATGACACACAGTAGGGAATAATACCAAAAAAAATCAATAAAGAGAGGGTATGCAGATCAATGCGGCAAAAAGGATTTTGATGTATTTTGGATTACCGGTGATCCATTACTTTCCATTACACTAACTAAAATTGAAAATTGTTCAAGTTAGTCACAAGTGCCGATTTTGTTGTTCCTGAATTTCCTTTTGCAACAGTGTGCTGTTGTTTATTATAGTTGCTGTACTAAGTTTGGGCATAATAAACACAAAGGACATGGCACATGTACTTCTCACCAACAATCCCCCAAATAAAACTGGTCATTCATTTCATGGCACTTTGTAGGATATTGATGTGCACAAGTTCACTGCCGCATTCGCCCACAATATAGGCACTGCATTTTATAGTATATCTTATGCTTTGAGATGTCCTCCTGATGTAAAAGGTGCAATCTGAGTATATATATTTTAATGGCTTGACTTTTCAAACTTGAAGGAAGGCATCTGAGATGGAAACCTTATAAAGGTGTATAAGATTCAAAATAGGATTGAAATATACTTTCGAATATGCCAAAGTAGCAGAAAAAAAGAAGACACCAGAAAGTATTTCTTTACCCTAGAGGGTAATTAATGACTAAATCAAGTTACCAGGAAGGATGGCTGAGGCCAGAGCACTTAACCTATTTAAGAAATCACTTTGTGATGTAATGGGAGAATGGTAGGGTGGGTGGATGAAATCAAATGGGCTGAAGTGACTTTTTGTGATCTTATGGCATTTACTGTATCTAAAAGCAGAAATAATTGGTATATTAAACTCATATTCTGTTCACTACAAATCTGCCAACTGGCCAGTGCTAAGAAAATGTCCGTGCCTTTGACGTAATCCAACTTGGTTTAACGCAAGGCAAAGCTAAACAGTCAATGTCAGTACTAGTATTGAGTCGGCAGTCATTCAATGGAGATCTGGAGCTGCTCGCTGTAGATAACAGAATAAAACTATGAGGCAATTGTAGGAGTGGAATTTTTGCAGCTTCCAGGTTAATATTATCCAGGTCTTTCTATGGAAAAGAGTATCTAGTGGTCTAAAACCTCAGTAGATTCTGCTCATTCTTCTGTCTTGAGTTGCATTGTCTGCTGCAGCAGCAGCAGTTTGATCAACAACAACAACTTGGATTTATATAGCGCCCTCCACGCCGGACGGCTAATCAGAGGGGTGATGAGTCACCGGATAGCAAAAATAAGGCAACTTCCTGGAATATTGTATTTTATTGCAAAATATTTCAAATTAGAATTACTCGGATTTAAGAATTTCTTTGTACATTTTATTCTCTGATGGTTGTCAATGGCATTCTATTCTCATATGACCCCAAAATAAACTGGAGTATCTGCTGCTACTGAGCTACTTAATAAATAAATAAATCATCTTTTAAAATCAGTGCTCATCAGAAAACTTTATTTTACTCATACCATCTTCATCCGCTACCCTCCATGGTTACCCAATTTGAATGCGTTTTTATTATACAGTGCTTTACTTCGATTAAATTGAATATAACTAACTTGTTTAACATTTTAGTTGCAAGATTAGTTTTTTAATCTACAATTAATCAGAAATGAGGTGGGGGGTAGGGAAATTAATTCAGTTTCTTTTCCTTACCCCATTCTTTCCTCTCCCCCTCCGCCCCCCCCACCCCCCCATCTATTGCTTAATCTGTAGCCCAAGACCGCTTTCAATAAAGAAAATTGCATCGACTCCACTCACTTTCTGTCCACTCCCTCTGCTCAGCAGACTCCATTGTTGGTCGGGCCTACAGCCTTTCTTTCCCCATCCTTTGGAACTCCATCCCACAGTCCCTTTGCCTCACCTCCTTCCAGGCCTGTCTCAAGACCTTCCTCTTTGAACACACCTTCAGCCACCCTCCTACCTCCACTCGCCCTGCCCTCTACCCATCCTGATCCCAACCCCCAGCTCAGATAGAAATCCTTGACAGTCCTTGACTGACATTCTCGCAATGTGAAGGCGCTATACAAATGTAATTAGGTTTTGTTGTTACTTTCTCTGATGGACTTATAATTGGATGCTCTCTATGCATTGAATACCAGGCACAAACCAACGGCATCATAACAACAACAACTTGCATTTATATAGTGCCCCTCACGCACCCCGGAGCGCTTTACAATGGTGGAGTCTTGACAACGAGCAAAGGGGAGAAGGAGTGGGGAGGTGACCGTGAACACAATCAAAAACGAAGGTCTTTAGGCGGGATTTGAAGCTGGGGAGGGAGGGGGCAAGGCAGAAGGATCGAGAGAGAGAGTTCCAGAGTTTTGGGGTGCAGTGGCTGAAGGTACAGCCACCGATGGTGGAGCGGTGGGCATGAGGGACAATTAGGAGGCTGGAGCTAGTCGAGCAGAGGTAGTGAAGTGAAGGGTAAGCGGTTCGGATAGGTAGGGAGATGCGAGGGAATTAAGTGATTTGAAAATCATAATATTGCAGTATTACTGTACTGCCTAATTTATACCTATCCATAATCGCTCTGACCATCAGCCTGGATTATCAGCTATTTTCTATAATTTAAGTCGTCTACAATCTACATATTGAAAAAAAATTGTTTATTGGCTGCATTGTGAATATAATGTGTATAGTTCATCTTTCTTGTACTTTGTATTTTTTTTTAGGATTATCTTGACTGCATCACGGATCAATCACGCCATCCATTAGGAACAGAAGAACGGTCTGCCCTGTTTGGGAACATTCGAGACATCTATCATTTTAACAGGTGAGCATAGACTTGAGAGGTTTAGGTGCAGCTGGAGAGTATTCAATGTTCAGGACATTGAGAAGAGTAACACTTAGTGTTGCACCCAGACATTCAGCTGTGCTTTGTCATATCATTTTTGCCAAGATTTTCTCACCCAGAGGTTAGTGTTTTGGATATTCCTAAGTAAGGTGATGGACTCCCGGCAGAAAGTTGGATATCATTTTTGACTCTTCTCCAATAATTGCTACACTTCAATATCAGACAACAACTACAACTTGTATTTGTATCACGTGGGGTACCATCCCAGAGCACTTGACAGTGGCAGAGCACAACACCAAGAGGGGGGTCATCGTAGGCACAGTCAAATAGGAAGGTCTTCAGGCATGAGCTGAAGATGGGGAAGGAAGGGATAAGGTGGAGGGATAGAGGAAGAATGTTCCAGAATTTCGGGCCCTGATGGCTGAAAGCGCGGCCACCAATGATGGAACGGAGGACATAAAGGACATGCAGATGGCCGGAGGCAATGGGTTGTGGGTTGGGGGGTAAATAGGATGGAGAGGTAGGCAGGTGACAGGGAATGAAGGGATTTGACAAATGAGTGTGAGTATCTTGAAATTGATCAGTTCAGCGACAATAATAGTAATAATCCTTGCATTTGATATAGCGCTTTTCACGTTGGGAGGACGTCCCAAAACGCTTCACAGAACACACTGTAAAGTGAATTGACTGTATATTTGTGGGCGAACGCGGCAACCAATTGCGCACAGCAATGTCCCCAAACAGTCGTAGATTGAAAATCACCAATTTATTATTATGGTTTTTGGTTTTGGGGGGATTATTATTAGGCTCTGTGTGGAGTAAGGAAACTTGCCCAAGGTTTCGTCCTGCCTGGAATTGAACTCGGGTCTCTCGCTTACAAAGCGAGTGCTCTAACCACTGAGCTACAGGACTCCACGATAGGGGGCTATGGAGCCTGGCAGGAATTGGTGGGATGGGGATATAGAGTTTAGTACAGCCGAGTCTACTGAATGTCTTATTCTCCCTTTAATGGTCAGTCGTGGGAAAACCTTCCATACGCATAATGTCTACAGGCATTACACTGGCACATTCTGTACGTAGACAGAATGGAGAAGGACCGCTTTGGCCATTGAGCTACTGAGAGCAGCGGCCAGCGACACCAACAAAATTTGTTCAGCCACTGACACCTTGAAGTAGAGCATCACTTTCAGTTAAGGCCTGTCTGCGAAGGTGTAAGCCCAGCATTACTTACAATCTTTCCTTCCTTGGGTTTTAAGGACCGCATCCATTGTAACTCTGTGCTCAGGTTTACAGGATGGGTTGAAATGTTGGTGTGTAGTTGAACGTGATGGTGCAAATGAAAAGGAAAGCCAGACTAAATAACAAACTGAGCAATATCTGATGACTTCCAAAGCAGTCAGTAATTATACACACAATCTGACTGAAAGAAACTTGGAAAAACAGCATGGTGCCAGCAGTGCAATAATGCATATTTTGGCCTAGCAGTTTCTGTTGCACTCCCACAGAAGCTTTTATAATTATTTCTCAAGGATGTGGAAGCACCTCACAGTGCCAACCGCACCCGCATCCACTCACAAGCGTACAACCTCTGGTTTTCGTAGCTACCCACTTAAAATGTAACTTTCTTTCTCCCCTCTGTTTACAGTGAACTGCTTCAAGATCTAGAGAACTGTGACAGTGATCCAGTTGCAATCGCAGAGTGTTTTGTTGCAAAGGTAAGCGATTAGTTTATCTTGGTGAAGAGTAAAAGTTCAAGTTTGCAGGGCTATGGTGAGAGATTGGGGGAGTGGGATTGAATTGGATAGCTCTTTTCAAAGAGCTGGCACAGACACGATGGGACGAATGACCTCTTTCTGTGCTGTATAATTCTATGAGGGATATACCCTGTCCCCCTCCCACCCACCACCGCATCAACAGATTGAATTTAAGATCCTCTTCCTCTTGTTCAAATCCATCAATGGCCATCCAACCTCTGTGGCCACCTTCTCTGCTTGGAGAACACTGGGCTGCTTCTTGTCCTTTGCCCTTTCCGCTCCACTGTCAACGGGTGAGCTTTCAGCCATTCTACCCTGCTCCATCCTGATGTCCCTCCACCTTGCCTGCCTCACTCCCCAGTTTTAAAGCTCACCTTAAGACCGAACTCTTCAACTTGCACGTTTTGATTATCTCTTCGATCTTTCTTTCAACCCCCGTCCAACGCCACTGTCAAGTTCAGGCTCCCAATCTGCTTTGTGAAGTGCTTTGATATGTCGTCTTGACGTGTACAGCACTAAATAAATGTCAATTGTTGTTATTGCTGTCTGAACATTTTGAAAGACGCAGCCAAATCGGGCCAGGGAACCAGGGATTTGTAAAGGCGAATTGTAAAATGACCATTTTAGAGTTGCGTCACTTTGATTTGTACCTTGTGGTCGTGTTGCATGGGATATCGCTTGTGTACTGGGTGTCGTTCTCTGCCAGCAGCGCCTGCGTCTGATGTCTTTTCCAATATGAAAATGGATATCCACCATTAACGTTAATCTCTGAAAAGAAGTTGTTTGAGACATTTCAGTATGTGCCGTGATTGATTCTTTAGAATGAATAATCAGTTGCATTTCCCCAGCGCCTATTGCACTTGATACTGTAACCCGATCGCACATTACCTCACCACCACAGGGCATGGCAGAATTGAAGGTGTGCTACTCTAAATCATTCTCTTTCTCTCTCTGTTGCCTTCCGGGCTTGGGCTATTGCAGTTCTGCTATCATTGTTCTCTCTGCAATCTGCAGATTCTTATTTCCACTCTTGCTCTTATTTCCACTCTTACATAACGTACGCTGTAATGTGTTTATTTACAGGCACGGGTTTCAATACTCTGAAAATATCTAGGCCTTTGAATTTCCATCTGTTTTCCTTCTCAGCTTTGTTTTTGAATGCTGCCTCCCTCCCTATTCATTTTACCCTTAATCACTGTGTATTTACATTCAGATGCAATTGCTTTATTCCTAAGTCTCATTACAATTACAGCAACAGTAACATTCAATAGTCATCACATGAATATGCTGGAGACACCCCTTATTCATGCTCCCACACCCCCCAGTCTATGGTGCTGTTTTCAGTAGTGACATCTGAGAAGACTGGTAAATAGCAGCTCCTGAGTTCTTATTAGCTGGAAACTGAATTTGACCAAATAAAACATCTAAAGTTACCCAGTCACCTGTTAGCTGGTAGTTGAAAGCTGGGTTCCATGAGCTGGAAGTGAGTGTCCAGTCTTTTGGAGGACACTGTTAAATGGCATTGCAATGGGGAAGTTCTCCTCTAACACATCTAATGTACTAAATATTGAAAGCAGTGCTAAATTAATTCTTTCCACGTCTTTTGTCCCATCCTCCCATGTGTCAGCATACATTACTTTCTTTTGGGATTTTTTCCTTGCCTCTCATTACCCCACATTGAACTTTATTTCCATATTCTCTAAAAATTATGAGGTTTGAGTTATATAGCACTCTGGTCAGTACACCTTGAGTACTGTTTCCAGTTCTGGCCACCGCGACATAAGGGAGCAGCCCAGGCCCTAGAAGCAGTACAGAGGAGAGCAATGAGGATGATCACAATTTTGGAGGAATAAGCTTTGAACAATGATTAGACAAGCTTTTGTCTTAAGAGAAAACTTCTCAGGGGGGTCAACATAGAGGTGTATACAGCTTTAAATGGGTTTGAAAAAGTAAATCCAGAACAATATCTTTGGATGCACCATGACAGTAGAACAAGAGTTGCAAAGGGCAATTTCAGGACTGATACCAGGACGTTTTTCTTTACCAAGAGGGTAACTAATGATCGCAAAAGGTCACCAGCAAGAGTTGTTGAGGCCAGGACACTGGATTCATTTTAAAAAAAGCTTGAATCTGTGATGAGAGAATGTTCGATGGGTATTCTGGAAGGATGAGATTAAGTGGGTGGAAAGGCCTTCTTCATCCGAACTAATGTCGTAATCTTGGGTTTAATTTACTGGCTGTCTTGAAAGTGAGAGCAATACTGATTCAAGAAATTGATTGGGGATATCGAGAGCAGAAAAATAAAATGGCAAAGTGGTAAGTGTTCATGAAGTTGATTGGTTTTCTTGCTTTCCAGTAGATCAAACTGGTAAAGGTTAATGTATGGCAGTATGAGTACATTGTGAGGCTTTGAATAAAAATGGAGGGAGCCTAGCCAAATTCCAATAGTAAGAAAATGTGGATGAAAATGCTGACCCTTTACTGTTTGTGGATCTCTGTGGAATCTGAAGATGTATGAAGAATAGGTATAATAGCCTGATCATTCACTCTTCATAGTAACTTTTCTCATTTTGAATCTTGTGCAACCAATATTAATGATCTTTAATCCTTGCATTTCGTATAGCACTTTTCATGTTGGGAGGACATCTCAATGCGCTTCACAGGATACACTGTAAAGTGACCTGACTGTGTATTTTGTAGGAAATGTGGCAGACAGTTTTGCATGCATCGATGTCCCACATACAGCCTGAAGTGAATGACCATTGTTTTATTTATTTGAGCTCCACATCTGTCAGAGTAACTGTTGGCACTGAGGAGAGAGATTTTACATGCTTAAATTAATTCCTGGGATTAATGTTGGGCATGGTCTACGAATGCTGATACGTTGGCATAAACCTTGCCGGAAGTTCTTCTCTTCCAACAATCCCAAATAAGATGTTTGCTGGTTTCTAATGTTACTTACCCAGATTGTTAGGCATGTATTTAAGCTAATTGTCGCATTCTTGAAGACTTAGCATATGGTCTTGCAAATATCAGTTGCCAAGGTTAATTTGGATGTCTGACTGCAGTCCCAGACATTGGTGGTTCCTTGCCAGGGTTTGGCTGCTTCAGCAACAACTTGCAAAGCCACAAAACACAATGAGGTTTGAACTATTTGAACCACCAGCCACAATTTCTCTAGAGTCAAACTCTTAGTGGTTGAGACCACCATAAGACTTTGTAGAGAGGGAAAATTACAGCTTTTGTTGTTGCTGTAATTAGCCAGTATGTAGTAATAATACTTGTATGTGGTATAGTGTCTTTCACGACAACAGACTCCATCTGGTCGGGTTTGATTTTTTGGGGAGTCAACCGGGTGTCTGACACACGGTTTATTCCATTATCATGCATGAGCGTATCAAACCCAAACTGAGTTCCACCTGCACATGGAAATTCCCACTTCTGGTAAGGAATACGCACCCAGGGGTGAGAGTAAGCACCCTGTTTAACTAATTCAGGAGAGTATTAAGTGCAGGTTGGCAAGAGCCACAGCTTGGAGACCCCAGAGTATGGTTTGGGTACTCCTGGAATTTAACTAGTAAAAACCGCACAGTTTGCCATTGAAGCACTGTCTGACAGGTTCCTCGCTGCTTGCCCATCAACGACCACCCTATCCTTCAGGGCTTTAGCACAGGGATATCAGGCCTAAGTGAGAAGAATTCCAGCCCCATACAAATGAACTGCAGTTGGCTGGTTTGTTGTCAACAGTACCCTGGAGTACTGTGGACTGAGGCTCAGTAACTGGACTACTGAGAATGCTAAAGAGGACTGACTCGATTCTGTCGCCAAGATAGGAATGTACTAAATGCTGATTCAATTTAAAGAAAAACTTTCCATTCCCCCTCCCAAAATAAAATGGTTTTGTAGATCGCACCAGTTCTATTATGGAGAATGGAATACAATTGAATGCTTCATAGTTGGTTTACTCTTGTCCTTTGAAGGCATAAAGTTTCTAAAACTGGCTTCAAATTCTCTGAATTTGTCATCAGTACAGTCCTATGACCCACTCCATATGCTCTGCCAAAGAATCAAATTCTATTAAGTCATAAATTTCTAAACTGCTTTTATAATTCCAAAGCCTAGAATAATAATATGGGCTCGGTTGAGAACAAAATTATGCAACTCGAGTGATTTGAATATCCAACCTAGCTTTCTGGCTAGACCATCTGTAGAAATCTACATACTACAGGGGTTAAATCCTCAGTGGCTTCAGGTTTCTCTGATACAAAATCACATTGAACTGCTTTACAAATTTGTAAAATACAAGGACTCTCTGTATGAGCTAACTCTGATGGATAGAATGTCTCGACAGGCCAGAAGTTAATTATCTACTTAATACGTCTCCTGATTTTCATTTTGGCTTTCAGGCGCTCGCTGGGAGGGGGCGAAGAGTGGGGAGGTACTTGTAATTGGATTGTCTTCAGCTGCCGTGTAAAGATGCACTGGATGAACTCTGAATGCTGGTGTTCTCCTGAAGCAGTAGGGGACAATCTTTATACTATAAATCAAGAAATATTCAATGAAGAAAAAACTAAAAACTCTACCGATTTGAATATGGACTTATCTAGACTCACGCGAATGCTTGGGGGGGGGCTTCTTGAGGGCTCCATGGCACACAGGTTGGCCACTGCTGCCTTAAACCAACTCTGTTTATAGCTTGAACTGAATTTGGGAAAGGTTTACATTTTAACTCAGTGCTGGGTGGGGAGGGGGGTTAAAAGTTATTTAGGTGAGATTGTTGACACGACTTTGGCTCATTCAGAATAAACTTGGAACAATTTTTTTCTTTCTCATGGTGCTTTCAGACCAGTTACGGGTAGTTCAGTCAAATCCATCCTTCTTAATCTTTATATCTAGGATGTGTATCAACTTCACCTCCCACAGACCAGTAGCCTGGTGTTTGTCAGGCGGTTTGTGACTTTAAGGAGAATCATGAACCAACTACAATTGGACTATATCTGTTTGTGAGGTTGGATTTCACTTAGCAGCTAGTTTTGGGGCAAATGCAGTCCTTAGTGTTTTGGGATGGGATGTTGACAAATTTCTGTAATATAAAATGGGTGCTTGCAAATCTTCCCAACACATGAGATAATTGAACACCAATGCTGTGCATGTGTATGTATTGACTTGTAATGTTTTGTTTTTTTCATTCTCCAGAGTGAAGAATTCCACATTTATACACAATACTGCACAAACTATCCAAGGTAAGGTGTGCGTGCGTGTGTGTGTGTGTGTGTGCGTGTATAACCTGAAAAGTACACAACACGGGGAAGAATTGCTCTTTTGAATAATTCCTACTTCTGTGTACTATCTGGCAATTCTATTCCCCTGCTTGTAAAGTGCATGAGTGTCTCTTTCACAAAATCAGCGGTAGGTTAATAATAAAGAAAACTCTAATTGGTATAGCACACTTTCACATCGTGAAGGTGCCTCAAAGTTCTTCACAGGAAATACTGTAAAGTGTAGTAACTGCAGATCGAGAGTTAAAGAGACTAAAAGCACTTGCCCTCTCAGCTCGCATATCAAGAATCACCACTTGAATGAGATACCAGAAACCATATCTCGGTAAGAATGGGTTCCTTCAGCAAAGAACAGAATTAACAAAGAAAATGCATTTGCTTCTGCTGACACTGCATTTCACCTCCGGTGTTCTGGCCAGGGACAGTTAGAAACATAGTTGCCAGCGTGTAAGGTGAATCTTTGATAGTAATAGAGCAGTTGAAAGTGAGAACTATTTTTGTATGATCATAATTTAGAATGGAATTGCCCTAAGTCAAAATCCTCTGTCTCTAATTGATGAAACCTTCCAAAAATTAAAAAAAAACATTTTCAAGAGGAATTTGTGGGATAGTGTTGATAATGATTAATGTTAATAATAATCCTCGCATTTTGATACGGTGTCCTTGTCACGTTGTTGAAGTCTCAAAGTGCTTCATGTAAAGCTGTGTGAAATTCGAGTGTGCAAAATTTTTAAAAATTGCCTTTTTCTGTTCCATAACATTGAAATAAATGGACGTCTTTGCCAGAAGCGAAAGATTTAAACCAGTATTAATGTGCAGCTTTTGAATTTTTTTTCCCTTAGTCGGGTATTGCATGTCAGAGCAAAAATCACCCAGCATCAGCCAAACAAAGAAATACCCAGTATAATTTTTTAACTGTTAGGCATACAGAAAACTGAAAGTAAAGTAACAGGGCAGATTACATTGCTGGTATTGTTTTCTACAGGAATCAGTTATTTAACACAGCAGCTAATCTTTCTGGGATCACTTTACAGGTCTGTGGCTGTACTGACTGAATGCATGAGAAACAAAGTACTTGCCAAGTTCTTCAGAGAGCGACAGGAAACCTTGAAGCACTCCCTCCCACTGGGGTCCTACCTTCTCAAACCGGTGCAACGGATCCTCAAGTACCACCTCCTCTTGCACGTAAGCATCGGTTTTCACTCCACTTGACAAAGCTGCAATATTTTAACGTGTTTTAAAACAAGCACTATCCACTGTTGAACATTTTTGGTACCAGGAATCTGCGTTTTTCTAACTTAGGAGTGTAACTGAGTAAAAGCAATTACTTTTCCGGCTTGTTGACCAATTCAGCTGACTTCTTAGGTGACTGAGTGATATCATGGCTCATCTTCCCTTCACATTAGGGATTCTTTATCTAATTGGTGTTTATCTTCAGCATACTTGAGGAATGATACGTTGAGGCCATTTACCTGCAGTGGGTTTCAATGTGCCAGGATGGGACAGTTTAAAAGGGTGAAATGATCTATGCTTGGATATGTGGTGTGTCAGTAAACAGCATTAGACACTTGGGAGTTAATATTCCTGGGTATTCAGATAGAAGGATGTCCTTTTACTAAAATGATATTGAGCACAACTTGAGGTAAAGTTTCCAGATTGTACTTTTTGTTTTTGTCCCTGTCCCTTTGTCCCAAAAGCATTTTGACTATTCTCCTGGGGCTATTTCACAGGCGTCACTCTCCAGTTGGTCGACGTAAAAGTCACTATGTACTTGTGTGTAAGTTTTAATCATGATAATTGGTGGGCTATTCGATTTAAGCTCTCGAAGACTCTACCCTGCATGGAGGACGCTGTGTAAGTGCAAGTTGTTGCTGTTGTCGTAGATGTAGGAGCATCACAGCAAATTGACTGCCACTACAAAATATATAGTCACTGCACTTTACAGTAACTCCTGTGAAGCACTTTGAGACATTTTGACGTGAAAGGTGCTGTATCAAATGCAAGGATTGTTGTCATTGCTGGCTCAATCTGATTCCACCCACCATCTTTCAGCAACGGTTGCTTGATAGTAATCAGGAATAGGAACCAAGTCTTTATTTCTTATTTCTCCCTTCCTTAACTTGGGGTGCTGTGGCCAATTTTACCAATGTCTGTCACCCTGGCTGAAATTTAACTCAGCACAGACTGGAATCAAGCTTACAGTCTACTGTTCTGAAAGGATTAGATGTGTTAAACAAATAGGCATTGGGTAAAACTACTGAGCTTAGAGTAATTGCACTAGCCTTGAAGGACATGAAAAATTGGAAAGCACCAGATGGTGATGGGTTTACAGTTACAGTCCTGGGCATGGGTGAAACCTCAGGCAAGCTTCCTTGCTCTGCAAGCCTCTGTTTACCTAGCAGTAAGTAGGAACTTGGTTGATTGGCGTATTACTTTTCCAGGGGTAATAATTCCCCCTCCATAATAAAAAATAATTTGGGTCACTCAATCCATGACTATTTATATCAAACGCAAGGATTATTATTATTATTGTTAATAAATTTGAGAACCGTCATTCTGAGGCATTCAAGCAATTATTGTGGTTGACAAAACATTTGTTTATGATTTCAAGATGGAATTGGTCTAAATTTATGGCATGGTCCTTGAGTGCATGCCATTTTAGTTCGGAGTGGAAGGATTTGCTTTGAATTGCTTCCCTTGAGGTACATGCATGGATACCCAGTAGCAAATATATTCTGGGTATCATGAATCTAAAATAAATGTAGAGAGGCACTTGTCTTAATATTGATTTTAGTCGGGAAGATTCAAGCTTTGCAGATCAGTATTATAGACCTGCCTTAATTGCATATTTATGATGCTCTAGAATACGTTCAATAGATCTTTCAGTTTCATTATGGAACAGAGTGGACATTATTCTTGATACAAAACCTGGCCTTAAATTGGCAAGAAGTAGGCATTAACAGAGTAACATTTATAGGAGGTTAGGATTATCATTTCCCTTACCAGGTTACAAGTACAACTAGAGTCCATGCCATTAATGTATGATGTTTTCATGTTAGGAATGTATTGTCACCCAGTGTTCACAACATGAACTTGCATTCCAGCTGGTGTTATATGGAAGCTATGGAGAGCAGGAACCTTGTCTTCTCTTTCTCTTTCTCCTCCTCCCTCCTCCTAGCACCCACACATAGAATTCTGTGTCAAAGCACTTCATACCTGAGCCCTGTATTATTTCTCATAGTGTTGTTCTGACCCCTGAATGAGCCAGAACAAATCACTATGTTAATATGCATGGAAGTTTATGAAGAGGGTGTACTGAGCATCTGGAAAAGATTTGTTTTGTTACCTTTTGAAATGAAGCATGTGTTGATGGCCTAAACTAAGCCTTATTTCTGAGTCAGTGGGTTAACCAGAGAGTGAAGAAGAAGATAAAAATAGTAGCTGTGTGTTTGTTGTATTCCTATATAGTGTATTCCAATGCGTCGGTGAGCAGAGGACATGCATATATGCATATATATCCACAGCAGCATACAGTTGTTCTTACCTGCAACCTCTGGTTTATTGGTCTAACAGGAAATAGTTAACCACTTGGATAAGGACACAGAGTGTTACGATGTGGTGCAGGATGCCATTGATACAATGCAGAGGGTGGCATGGCACATAAATGATATGAAGAGAAAGCATGAACATGCAGTGAGACTACAGGTAATTGACATTATCATGCCATTATCATGTCTTCAGTTGTATCGTCAGATTGTATTGCTAGTGTACACAATCCAAGTTTTCTAGGGGCCATCGTATACAGTCATAAAACCTGCAACTTATCCCTGAGATGATTACTTTGGAGTTTAATCCTTCTAGTCAGGTTCTATATGTTCTTAACTCACTCTGTCATTTGGAGAGGGGGGGGAGAGTAATATTTTAATAAAAATACTCAAACATCAAGAGACATTTATTGCGCTAATCTTTAGCCTAACAAAACGAAATACAAATATCCTATCAAAACTGTAATTGTAATTGTCTTTTTAAATAAATATGTTGTTAAATGGATATTTTACTGGAGTTCTGAGGCATTACATGTGTGATATCACTGTTAATGCATTTGGCTGCTATTTGATCATCTATTTCCTCTCTTGTTAAGGAGATACAGAGCCTGCTAACCAACTGGAAGGGACCAGATCTGACCAGCTACGGAGAGTTGGTTTTAGAAGGAACATTCCGCATACAGCGAGCCAAAAATGAACGCACTTTGTTTCTGTTAGATAAGCTTCTTCTCATCACTAAAAAGAGAGAAGACATGTACACCTATAAAGCCCATATTTTGGTAAGATTTTAAAAAATCGTTTCTTAACAGCATTTAAGTAAGTGACTGGCTGATTCTATATGAGAAAATCAAATGGACAGAACAGTGACAAGCAGCCTGCCATCAATTTGTGCTCTGTTCCACCCACACTTGGGGGTCTATGACAGGCGTAGACTTTCAATGCCATCAAAATCACCTGGCTTACTCTTTGCTTCAAAACTCTTTGCTGCACTCGCTTCAGTTCCCAGATGTTCCTATTGTAATGAGGTAACCAGATGTGGTATGTAGCATGAAGCTGAATTGGTGCTTTACACAATTTCACTATCATTACTTGATTTCTTTTTAATCTTGTTTGGTCTCTTTACTGTTGCCAGGTGATTATGGTTTCTGTAATCTATCCATTAATACTCCCCCAACCCCTTTGTGCCCTGCAGACAATACCATTTATCTTATAAATTGGAGTCCTGTAGCTCAGTGGTTAGAGCACTCGCTTTGCAAGTGAGAGACCTGAGTTCAATTCCAGGCAGAGGGCGAAACCTTGGGCAAGTTTCCTTACTCCACACGCCTAATAATAATCCCTCCAAAAAAACAAAACAATAATAAATTGGTCATTTTCAATCCATGACATTTTGTGGGAAATTGCTATGCGCAATTGGCTGCCGCGTTCGCCCACAAATATACAGTCAATTCACTTTACAGTATATTCTGTGAAGCGCTTTGGGACGTCTAGAAGACGTGAAAAGCGCTATATCAAATGCAAGGATTATTATTATTATATTCCAACCATTTGGTCTCAATCTCGCATGGTAACTGCACCTATGGGAAGAGAAATCTTCATAAGTATCTGAACAGGGGACTATTGACAATCAGCAGAACAATCCTACACTGTTTGATGCCCCATTGCTTAAGATACAAAGCATATGTAAAATGGGATTGGGACAGTAAACCTAGAACAATACTTTCAAATACACTGAGATAGTAAGATGAGAGGGCACAGGTTCAGGGTTGTGTAGGACAAGTTTAGTACAGACCACCAAAAGACACAGCTTGATGCTAAAATGGGAAGATATTACAGTGGTAATAAGAGAATAGGATTAAATGACTGAAGTGCTTTCATCTATATCACTTCTGTGATCCTGTGAAGAAGCTAGGAATTACCTGATGTGGGAGTGCATGTTGTGTTTGAGCGCTTTATCTTGGTGATAAAGACTTTGGTTTTCTATTTATGCTAATCCTGTCTTTGATTCTGCCCTTTGTGTTTTCCCTTCAGTGTTGTAACCTTATGCTCGTGGAAGTAATACCAAAGGAGCCGCTTAGTTTCAGTGTCTTCCACTACAAGAACCCAAAAGTGCAGCACACAGTACAGGTACAGTATTATTTCTCACAGTGGGGTCATTGTGTGTCCAATTGGTGTGTGCTATTAAACATTGCTTTTCTGCCTACAATGTCAGGTATTTGCAGTTATTTTTAAGTCTTTAAAGATGCTGTCACCTTCTTGCATGCTTCAGCAAAGTAAACCATGTCTAATTGCAGGACTCGCAAACTCAGTACACAATGTTGAATGCAAGATTTAGCTTAGTTTGTGTTTACACTTTTTTAAAAAATCTATCCAGTCAAAGCTAGTGAACCAAAATTTCTAAGTGTGTATATATATATGTGTATATATATATATTTATATATAATATAAATAGCCTCTTCACTGAGAACCAAGAAAAACCCAAAGGGAAAAAGACTGATCATCTGGAGACTTGCATCTCTTTTGTACTGGTGAGATGTGATTCTACTGGCCCCGATCAAACAAACCCAGTCTACGTGTGTCCTAGTTTGATTTAACTTCATCCAATGGAAGTAGGTTCTCTTCATGTTGCTCCCACCTGCCTATTCAGGTGAGTGTTAAAGATCCCTGACACTATTGAAAAGGCAATGGAGTTCTTTGTGGTTTCCATCCAAAAATCCCCCAAGATAAAATCAGTCATTCCTTCAAAGCTGTTTGTGAGACACTGCTGTGTCAAAATTGGCTGCTGCGTGCGCCTACAGATACATTCACTGTACTTTACAGTATGTTCTGTGAAGCACTTCAAGACATTGCTATATCAAATGCAACGATAATTATTATTAGTTTCATCTTTATTTCGCTGTCAACAGGCCAAGTCAGTGCAGGACAAGAGACTGTGGATTCTTCACTTGAAGAGACTTATTCTTGAAAATCATCCAGCAAAGATTCCAGCCAAGGTGCGAAAGAGCAAATTACACAGTGATGCAAAGTAGTATACAGTATTGGGATCATTTTGGCCAGTTTGAGGAATTTTTTTCCTAAGTCTGATATGCAGTGATTGGAGATGTGGTAAACTTTTGCATGCTTAACCTTATTCAGTGGTTCTTCAAAAGGAGCATTACTGATAGTTGTAGATGTAATTCCAGTATGCGTTCACTCCGAAACCTAATTCTAGTAAAGACAGCAATTTATCTTCAAACCATCTGCTTTATTTTCTACTTCTGGTTGGTACTGGCCTAATTTCTGATCATCGAAATAATGAGGGTTGATGGTGTAGCCTCTTAATGATGTCTTCTGAACTTATACCCAGCCCCCATTTCCTGAATCTTTTTCTACTTCAAACTCCTGTTCCTTGTTTCTCTGTGGTTGGAGAGGTCTCAGTAAATACAATTACTCTTGTTGCTCTTCGCTATCTTTGTTTGAGGTCATCACATTAAGGCAGATGATGATAGTCGAGTTTTACCCAGGCAAATTGTGCCGAAACGCTCTGTGTTTGAAAGCAAACACCTCTGAAATGCTGCCTGTGTTTTCTGTTTAATTCACAGGCTAAACAAGCAATTCTAGAAATGGATGCAATTCGTAAGTAGCATTGTATTTGGTTTGTCTACTTAATAGAAAGCTCGTGTTTAGTTTCAATATTCGTCGATAGAAAGTGAAAATCTTTTCACAACTGATCGATAATGAAAAGATGATATTTTAAAAAGCAAAATCAATTATAACAATTTATAACAATTATAACAATTAGAATTATTTAGCGTTTTCTAAGGGATGATTTTTTTCTTGGGTTATAGAGATTGTTTTGGTCAGCCGGGTGTCCAACATGCGGAAACCTACCATCATGTTTAAGAGTATCCAAACCAGACCGAGCATTCTATATATGTATGCCACCTAGAATGGAAAATTCACTGTGTCTGGAATGGAATGTGAACTCTCCCCGGAGAGACGCACCCTGCTTACCTAATTCCAGAAAGTAATAGGCGTAGAGCAAGAGCCAAAGCTTGGGGACCCCATAGTGTGCGTTGGGGTACTTACTGGAGTTTAACTAGCTGAAACCACAATGCTTGCCATTGAGAGAACAAGCTTCCAACTGTCTGTCTATGTTTTACAGATTTATTCTATTAACATGGTATTTCAGAATAACATGACCCTTGCTATATTATGAGGAGTGCTGTCTGCATCTCACTAAATAGAGCATGGAGCTCTATTTCTCAAATAATACCTGATTTGTGCTGGGGAGAAAATGGTCGGTGCAGTGGTAATGGTATTAATTGTTCCATGTGATCCAATTCGACAAAGATTTTCATGGTCAAGTGTTAGTCTGCAATAAGTGATGTGAAAAAGTTAGAGATTTAGCAGCGCAGACTTCATTTGTTTCCATATTACCTCCCTTACAGATCACCCAGGGTTCCACTACAGCCCAGAGGGTGAGAGGAGAGCAGCTGCTCACGTGAGGGAGGAGGGCATTACACCTCGCAGAGTCCGACGGAAGTCTGGTACATCACTGACCTTTGTTTATGTGTTTATGTTTCACCCACAACATACGCAGTCAATTCAGTATATTCTGTGAAGCGCTTTGAGATGTCTCAACAAAGTAACAAGATGCTAAATCAAATGCATGGATTATCATTATTGTTTCCCGGAGCCCCTATGCCTCACCCCTTCCTTGTCTCCTTCAAGGTCTGTCTCAAGACCTTCTTCTTCAACCGTGCCTTCATTCATCTTCCCACACCCAACCCCTCTTGCCCGCCATCCCTCTAGATTCTCAACTCCAGCTCATACAAACCTTCATTGTCCAGCACCTTGTGAAGACCTCTCGACGTGAAAGACATTATATAAATGCAATTTGTTGTTGTTTTCTTCAAAACTCTGGGGGTAGAGAAATAGAGTGAGTGTGTGTCATGGGGCCTTCACCAGCACTGGTGAATCACTGCAGTTGTGACCCATAGACTGTTAGTAAGTACTTTGAGCTACTGTGCTAAGGAATGGTACAAGAGGCATTGATAGGTACATTTCCTCGCAAGCTGTTTGTGAGCTCACGTGAGCTGATAAGAGATGGCCTATCATCCCAAGCCCCACTCGGGTGCCTCTTAATTGCTGTTTACATGTGGCATTAAAGGAGACATGAAGGAAATGTGGAGGAGAATATGATGCGGAAGTGCATAATTGGAAGTACTATATTAACTTGAATCTAAGGTATAGCTAGATTTTTGGACGGTATGAGGGAATAAAGGAACTTGACTGCAGTAATAAGGCAGCACCATTGTTTCTAAGGCAGAACCCTGAATTTTGGAGGGTTTGAGGGAATAAAGGAATTTCACTGCAGTATCCTGATTTTTGGAGGTACTTTTTAAATTGAAAAAAAAGTCTAGGTTTGAGTAAATACAGTAAGCTGAAGGTGGATCCTCAGAGTCCTAGATTGGTTCTTCACAATATGACTAGAATGGTTGTTGGGCTCCTCAAGGAATGTGTTTGCAGTGTGTGGATGATGTCACTGCCCTGCAGACAGGCTCAACGTTTATTGTATAATGGAAACCAAGCAATGATTCAAAAATGCAAGTCTGCGGGATACTGGTAACGGCTTTCAATGAAGAGGTTCTTTGAAGTATGGATAGCACGAACCAGCTGCTAAACGTCTGAACTTCTCCTTGTAGAGAACAGCAAAAAGGCCCTGTTTTGTGCTGAAAATATTGCCAGCACACTGAAGACATGATTCAGTCATCATGCATTGCATTACGTGTGTTGGACAAGAAACCATTCCTGTAGAATGTGGCTTAAGATCTTAGAATCATGCCGTAACCTTTAATCTTCCTCCATTTACCAAATCTGTTCTATTTTCTTGCAAAAGAGCCAACTGCTGAAGAAATGCATCCTGACCTTAGATGTAATTTTAAGACAATACCTCCTTTGACTTTCTTCACCAAGAGGGAGAGTCATCCACTGTCCGTCTCAACTGCGAGAATTCCATATTCTCACCTCTGTGTAAAGAGCTTGGTTAATGCAAGTTCAACCTCTTGTATTCGTCCAGGTTGTATTGAATCAATGAAGACATGGAATTCTCTGTCCCTGTAGAGGCAGAATCAATAAGGCCCTTTAAAAGAAAAATAGACGTACAATACTTGGATAGTGAATGATGAGTACAGGAACCCTGAATAATAATAATAATAATCCTTGCATTTGATATAGCCCTTTTCACGTCGGGAGGACGTCCCAAAGCGCTTCACAGAACACACTGTAAAGTGAATTGACTGTATATTTGTGGGCGAACGCGGCAGCCAATTGCGCACAGCAATGTCCCACAAACAGTCGTAGATTGAAAATGACCAATTTATTATTGTTTTTGGTTTTGGAGGGATTATTATTGGGCGTGTGGAGTAAGGAAACTTGCCCAAGGTTTTGCCCTCTGCCTGGAATTGAACTCAGGTCTCTCGCTTGCAAAGCGAGTGCTCTAACCACTGAGCTACAGGACTCCGAATAAATAAAATCCTGTTTGAAACCTGGCAAAATCTCTTTTACTAATTCTAACTCTTATACGTTTTCAGAACCTTCAACAAGATTGAAGTCTCCCAAGCAACCTGGTGAGTGTTCATTTACTTTTCATTGTTTGGAAAGCCAAATTTGAACTGTAGGATTTATGATTTTGCTTGCCACTCTCCTGAATTAGGAAGCATTTTTGAATAAAAATGTGCAATTCTTCCTTTCATTAATAAAATTATTTTTTTTTCTATATAGAAACCAGACAAGAAAAGGTAAGCAAGCCTCTCATCAGTCTTCATTGGGTTAAGTATTCTGCAGTGCAGTAAATAATTTTCACTTAAACTCTAGGCTGACACTTCAGTGCAATGCTAGGGGAGCGCGGCAATGTCCAATTGCCGTCCTTCGAATCAGACATTAAGCTGAAGTCCCGTCTGCCTGGCCAGACGGAAGTGCAAGATACCATAGCATTATACAAAAAGAAAAGGGAGTTTCTCCCAGTGTCCTGGCCAATAATCCCCCAAATAAATCACTCACGTCGTACCGGAATTCAAGTTTCCTTACTCCACGCCCCTAATAATAATCCCTCCAAAAACAAAAACAATAATAAATTGGTCATTTTCAATCCACGACTGTTTGTGGGACACTGCTGTGCTCAATTGGTTGCCACGTTTTGCCCACAAATATAAAGTCAATTCACATTACAGCATATTTTGTGAAGCGCTTTGAGATGTCTAAAAGACGTGAAAAACGCTATATCAAATGCAAGGATTATTATTATTATTAGCTGTTTATGCAACATTGCGGTGCGTAAATTGGCTGCCGTGTTTGCCTACAAATATGCACAGTCACCACGCTTTATAATCCATCCTGTGAAGTGCTTTGAGGTGTCCTTGCAACACGAAAGTCGCTGAACCAAATGTATGGATTATTATAATGTCAGTGCAGCAATCTGGTAGGCAGGCTACACTACAGAAAGGTTACATCTACAGAGCAGATAAGTTGCTCGAGCAGAGGTTTTAAAGAGTAAATCTGCGCACAGCACAATGAGACCTGTCGGCAAGATTCTGGAGAAAACTGGCCATCATAATGTGAAACTCTTAATGACCAGCAGATGTCTAGTTTGTTCATGCTTAATGAACAGCAGCTGGACTGCCACTCCTTCATTGCATGAGCCGCAATTTACTGATATTAGTTCCCGAAAAACGCTGCCCATTACGAGCTGCCTTGAAATTGTTTCCATCTCAATTTTTATTATTTTCCAATGTGCTTCCATCCAACTCTTCAGTAGGTGCTAAGTCTTTGTTGCAATTCAGCTCTAGGTGATCATTCTTAACGAGAGCCTACACAAGGAATGTGCGCTGCAAGTTTTCTACCCCCCCCTCTTCCTCCATAGTTACATGTTATTTAACTATGGAGGAGAGAGATACAAGACTTGCAGCTTTTTTTATTAGAAAAAAGTCACATTTTCGCTCCCCTGAGAGGCTTAACAACTTGAATGTTTATAAAGCGCTCTTCATGCAGGATAGCATCTCGGAACCGACTAAGCCACTCCAGCCTACAGTTTCCCCACTACCTGTGATTGTTGATTATTTATGTACGAGTCCAGACACAGAATCAGTGGGACATCCACAATCCATCCCTCGTCTGATGTGTAGACAGAGGCACTTTCCGAGGAGATAGGGGGTGGGGTTGTGATCAGGAGTATAAAACCTGTCTGACATTTTTCCCTTTTCCTAAAAATTAAGATTTAGGTTAATTAAATTTTTTTTAAGTAGCTTTACACATAGGTTATCGAGGAGAGGGTGTGATGTTGATTCTTTATTATAGAAAAAAGCCCTTCATACATGATTCAGCATAATTTATGTAATACTGATAGAAAATTCATAACAATGAATGTTTGTTTTGAAACACAGCGGGCGAGTATCGAAGGATCCCTTCTCTCTTCCACTGTGGACGCGGCTTTGAGTGAAACTACTTTCAGCCCCAAGTCTGTAGATGAGTCCCTCCAGTGCAGTGACACTGTAAACCAGTCACAGGAGTCCTTGGAACCAGCCTACCCAAGTGACCAAGAAGAGAGTCTCCTTCAGACCCCAACCTTGGAACAGACTGATGCTGATGATGAGGAGGAAGCTGAACAGGTTAGAGACTGTTACCATTAACACAGCCATGTTTGTCCTAACACTAATACATTTCTTCTAAAAATGTCTAGTAGCTTAATATAATAATCCTTGCATTTGATATAGTGCCTTTCACGTCAGGAGGATATCTCCAGGCGTTTCTCAGGATTTTATTATAAAGTGCGGTGATTGTGTATTTTGTAGGCAAGCTTGTGAGCTAACCTCTTTAGCTGGGCACGAGTAGTGGGAATTGTGCAAATCATCGTAATTTATACAATTTAAATTTATATAGCACTTTTCGCGCGCCTGGACCAAATCCAAACTAACGGTCCATCAGCAGATTTGGCTTCACCATACCAAGACCTACTGCTGCGCTCTTGCCTCCGCCAAATCCTCCTTCTACTCCAAGGTTATCTTGGAGGCAAAGGACAACCCCAGGCTTCTCTTTTCCACCACAAAGCGTCTACTCCGTCCACCTTCCCATACCTCACCCATCCTCTCCTCAAACTCCAACTGTGAGGAGATGCTGCTTGAATCTAAAATCGAGGGGATACGTTCAGCCACCTCAGCCCTGTCCACAGCCACCCCCACATCACCTCTCCCTCATGACCCACTCCCCACCCATCCCCCCTATACTCCTTTGACCCTATCTCTCCCTCCTCCCTCACCACGACTGTCCACAAACTCAAAACCACCACCTGCTCCCTCAATCCCATCCCCACCACCTCTCGATCCCATCTCCCAGCTCCACCTTCTGACCCCTCTCCTGTCCAATGTCATCAACCTCTCCCTGTCCACTGGTTCAGATCCCACCCCTCTAAAAACGGCCGTCATTACCCCCATCCTGATAAAACCTTCCCTGGATCTATCCCTCCTCTTCAGCTACTGCCCCATCTCTAACCTCCCATTCCTCTCCAAGGTCCTGGAATGAGTCATCGCGTCCCAGCTCCACTCCTTTCTCTCTCACCATTCCCTCTTTGAACCCCTCCAATCCAGCTTCTGCGCTGCCTACAGCACGGAAACAGCCCTGGTGAAAATCACTAATGACATTCTGAACATCTGTGATCAGGGCTCCCTCTGTCTCCTTGTCCTCCTCGACCTCTCTGCCACCCTCAACACTGTCGACCACTGCATCCTCATACACCGCCTCTCCGCTTTACTCAATCTTCACAGATCTGCCCTTGCCTGGTTCGATTCCTATCTCTCTCACTGTCTCCACTTTGTTGCCTCTAACGGTTTCTCCTCCAGCCCCCGCGCTGTCACAGCTGGTGTCCCCCAGGGCTCTGTCCTTGGCCCTCTCCTCTTTAATATCTACATGCTCCCCCTTGGTGACATCATCCACAGACATGGAGTCAACTTCCACATGTATGCGGATGACACCCAACTCTATCTTTCTGCCTCCACCCTCAACTCCAGGACCACTGCTGTCCTGACAGACTGTCTGTCGGACATCAAGTCCTGAATGAAGGCAAATTTTCTACAGTTGAATGTGAACAAGACTGAGGCCCTCCTGATTGGCTCACACCAGCGCCTCAGCACCTCAGGCTCTGGCAGCATCAACCTCCATGGTTGCACACTACAACTCACCGAGCCAGTCGGGAACCTGGGTGTCTTGTTCGACCCTCAACTGTCTTTTCTTCCCCACATTCAAGCCATGACCCGCTCTGCCTTTCCTCACCTCCATAACATCGCCCGACTCCGCCACTACCTCACCCCTCAGGCCACTGAAACTCTTGTCCATGCCTTCATCACCTCCAGGCTCGACTATGCAAATGCCCTACTTGTCGGCCTTCCCAACTCCTCCTTCCACAGACTGCAGATAATCCAGAACTCTGCAGCCCGTGTCCTCTCCTGCACCGAACTTCGTGACCCCATCTCCCCCACTCTTGCCCGACTCCACTGGCTCCCTATCCAGAGAATCCAGTTCAAGATCCTGGTCCTCACATCCAAAGCCCTCAATGGCCTCGCCCCACCCTACCTCTGCGATCTCCTAACCCCCTACCAACCCGCCCGCTCCCTCCGCTCAGCCGGCTCTGGCCTGCTCCACGTCTCCTGACCCACCCGCCCCACCATTGGCGGGAGAGCCTTCAGCCACTCTGCCCCCGACCTCTGGAATTCCATTCCCCAATCACTCCGCCTCGCCCCCTCCTTAGCCTCCTTCAAGTCCCGCCTCAAGACCCTCCTCTTCGACCATGCCATTGGCCAGCCCCCTTACCCCCCCAACCCCAGCTCGGGTCTGAAATGCTGTACTCTATCCAGCTCCTTGGGACGTCCTCCCAACGTGAAAGACGCTATAGAAATGTAATCTTGTTGTTCATGTTGGGGGAGCGTCTCAATGTAGTAAAACCTGGAATTTTTGAGCTGGAGGCTATGTACCACAAGGCTTCCCATTATTGACAGTAGAAACTATTTCTGGGATTCAGGGTTCAAAACGTGCAACAAATAAAGGACCATTAGCCCAATGGGTCTATCCTTAGAACAGACGATGTGCAATTTGCACTGACATAAATTCCACTCAACCTGAACGAAGAACAAATAATCACAAGATGATACTTCCAAGATGATGTGTGAAAAACGTCTCGAGTACCCTTATCTGATGAGTTTCGGTGGCAAACGTAAAATAGTCTCACAAATGTCCAGTGATCAGATATTTACATATAAATTTTATCACCCAGAAACCTACAATCTCTCTATGTTATGTCTGATTGAGTGCAGTAATGTGGCAGTCTGAGGTGCAGTGAAATTCACTTTATTACACTGCGGGAGCATTTGAGGATAGAGGAGAAAACACCCAAGCAGCTGAACATGCTCCGACATGCATACACACACCTTGCTGGCCAAGTGCGTGACTGAGATAGACTGGCGTGTTGGTGTTGACACGCGAAGGGGTGTTTATTAATGTAGCTGTAACCCACTTAACAATCCTGAGTGTTCATTCTCGGGGGCCTTTGATCCCTAGCTTCAGTACTTCTACCAGTATTTAGGGAGCGTCAATCAGAGGCGTGGTGGGGGGAAATAATATGAGCATTTTTGTACGTCCATGGAAGAGAGAACCTCACCACTATCTCTTCAAGTGGTCTTGAAGGGCTGATGATGGTGGTTGCCAGCAGAGCACGGTTTTCAAAGAACCTGCAAAAAAATTATTTTGAGTGCTTTGAAGACATTTCCAAGTTTTGAAATGTTAGTCTAAATCCCAGTGAAATTTCTCCCCCGTTCCCCCACCCCACACACACCCCCACCTCCTACCCGATAAACAAATTCTGGCAGAGTACTATATCCTATACCTTAAGTGATGGCACTTGAGTCACAATAATGATGTGCAAAGCATTGTTCTATCTGTATTGCACCAAAAGGACTCTAAAAGCATCCCTCTGTATTACCAAGTGTGTGGTGCACAAGTGGCACCTGGTGGTTGAAAATCTCTCTACATCAGCTCAAATCTGCTGTTGACATGAGTGGTTTACCCTGAAAGTGCCTGACACATGCTGAATGCCTGATTTTCGAGAAGGTATTTGTTGTTTAGATCTTATGGAGAACAAAATCTTAGCAAATGTTCAAATGAAAAGCCTTTTTTTTTACTAACTTCACTTTGCCCTGCAAAGAAAGTGTTTTGTTTCGATGTGACGTCAAACACCAGTAGGTTCCTTGGTGCCCAGCGAATTGTAGTTTGTAAGTTATGTTAGTAATCAGTCTTCCCCTTCACAGAGGGGGCGGCCTGACTCGCAGCAGCAAATGAAGGGAAGTCGTAAGAGGCAAAACAGCCAGGACTGGGAAGACTTTGATAAACGGCGGAGCTTCAATTTCAGCACATCTTCTTTACAGGTTAGAGTTCGCCTGCAACGACAACAACTTGCATTTATATAGTGCCTTTGACACGATGTAGCATTTTGGAGCACTGAACATTGGTGTTGTTTGACACTGAGCTGGTAGGCAGGAGAGGTGACTGAAGGCATGGTCAAAGAGGAAAGTCTTCAGGTGCAATTTGAACATGGAGAAAGAGGGGGCAAGGCAGAGGGATTGAGGCAGCAAGATGTTTAAGTTTGGGGCTTCATGTCTAAAGGCATAACTGTTGATGGTGGAGCAGAGGAGTTAAAGGACGTGCAGAAGGCCTGAACTGGTGGAGCAAAGAGGCAGGTAGAGGAATGAGGTGTTAGCAGCTTAAGAGAGATAAGGAGGTGCTAGGGCATAAAGTGATTTTTAAGTGAGTGTTGGAATCTTGAAATTGATCAATTCTGCCACATGGAGCCAACAAGCAGTGGACTACTGATGATTTTACTTGGTGTTAGTCTATTATATACTCACACCTGAAGATTTTCCTCTTTGACCTTGCCTTTAGACACCTACCCTCCTAACTCGGTATCATACCACACTGCTGTTAAGCCCACTGAGAAGCTACCAGACGCGCTACAACAAGGGCTCTTTACAAATGCAAGTTATTGTTGTATATACTGATTATTTTACTTGATGTTGGCCTATAGTGTACACTGGAAACCTTTTTTTTAAATTATAAACCGTTGCACAGACTTTTAATGTTTTATCCTGAAGGATGCTGTAAAGTGTGGTAGTATAGTTACGCAAATTACATGATTTAACGCTTATGTCAGGACTTTTAAACCCCCTGTTTTGGCTCATGCTGCATTGCGGTACTTGGGAGATAAAACATTAAACTGAGGTTCTGTTTGATGTTATAGAACAACAACAGCAGCAGCAAAATTACAGGACATCACATGGTACTATTTGAAAAGAAAAGGAAGTCCTGGTGTCCTGGCCAACAATTCCCCAGATAAATGCCCATTTGCGCAAATTTGCTTCGTGGTTGTTTGTGAAACAATGTTGTGCTTTTTTTTTGTGCTTTTATTGGTTCAGCTGTATGTCTGACACATGCGGAAACCCATCACCATTCTTAGGAGTATCCATACCAAACTGAGAATTCCATGCATCCCACCACACATGGAAATCCCAGAGAGAGATTGTTGGAATGGAATATGCACTTTCTCCCTGCTTACCTAATTCAGGAAATTATTTACACAGGTGACACAGCCAAGGCTTGAGGACCCCAGGTTGTGTCTTGAGGTGCTGCTGGAGTCTAACCAGCTAAAACCACATAATTTGCCATTAATATCGCTCTCTGGCAAGCTTTCCCAGAGTAGGACCATCCTACCTGTTAGGGCTTTGGCTACGGTTAGCAGGAGCTGAGTGGGTTGATTCCCTACCCCCGTGACTGGTCTGGCCTTACAGGTGTGGCTGGCTGTGCTGTCATCAGCAGTGCCCTAGAATACTGCAGACCCGCCTGGCTCAGGAACCGGAGGAACAAGTCCATCACGGAGGGATGGCTCAATTCCGACATTCCATTGTCAGGCATGTCACCTCGGTGCCAGTTCAGCTGTTGTGCTTAAATGGACATTTGCCTACAAAATATAGTCACTGCACATTACTGATAACTCTGAAGCTCTTTGAGTTGGTTCAACAAGGTAAAGCGCTATTTTAAATGCAAGGATTATTATATTATTTGAGTTTGACTGGTAGTTATCTAAGGTTCATATTGTGGAGTTTAATGGAAAGATGCAAAAGTTCGTTCTTTCCAAGTATATTTTTCCCTTTGATTTGAAAATGTACAGATCCTCGTGGGGAAATACTGATCGTATCTCGTGACGTCTATTCTGATGTAGAATTTCAACAAACATCTTTATTTATTTTTCCATTTTTTTTCAGAGTGCTTCAACACCGTCAGCAAAGGAACCGTGCCAGTTCACAACATCCGCAGGCAGTGCCGCTACTGGTGCTCTGGCTTCAGAGTGGATCAAAACAAAAGGGATCTCGGGCAGCGTTCAGATGGCGGATCCTAGAGGCGCTTGTGCTGTAAGAGAACTGTGGTCTGATGCTCCGATCAGAGAGATCTTGTTCCCTGGCCAACCTTTGAGTCGCAGGAATCCAGAGGACGATGACTACCAGATGTTCATGCCTGCCATCTCTACACCCACCCTGAACTCCACACAAGTGTCGCAGGCCTGCACTGAGTCAAGCAGGCCCTGTAGCTGGCACACTGAAATCACTCAGGAAAATCCCATTCCGGCCATCAGCCGCAGAATTGTGAGAAGAGCCAACAGTGTTAAGGAGAATCATTCCACTTTCAGGAGCACAACGAGTAGTAATGATAAACAGGGTTGTCCAAAGCTGTCGAGAAACGCCAGCCTTTGCAACTCATCTCCTAAAATCTGTGCTGCACAACCCGTAGCTTGTGCCATGGAAACCTTCATAGACCTGCAGAGTCCAGCTGCAAGTAGCTGCGAATCAAACCTTGATATAACGGACAGCTTAAAAACCGGTCCCGTCAAAAGTATCTACGAAAACGTCCAGCTCAGTGAAGACCTGAAATTGACCGGCATGAGGGAGAATGCTGCCCCTATTCGTCACGGAGGCATCAAGGTGACCGATCGGGAGGGTGACAAAGATAGACCATGTGACCAAAATAAGTCCAAAGCCCCTTTCAAAGACAAGAAACTAACCACCACACGTTTCACTGAAATCCGAAGAAGAGCAGCAGCAAATAAATCCACTGCCTGTCCACAAAAGGAGGTAGACACAACAAAGTGTTTCACTCAGACCATTGGTCTGTGTGAAAAAAATCACAAGAACGTAAAAACTGATTTCAAAGAATGCACTGAAAAAGACAGCTTTCTGGGCCCGGATATTGACATTGGGTGCTATGATAACATGGGGAGGTTTGTTTCTGAGGAGAGCCTTCAGTTCAGTGGAGACGATGCTCCATGCCTCTTGGGGAAAGGCTACCTGGGCTGGGTTGACAGCTCCTCCAATTCCAATTCCCTGTCGCACGAATCGGTCCCAGATAAACTGTCCGAGGAAGTCGATGAGATCTGGAATGACTTAGAGAACTACATTAAGAAGAGTGAAGAGACTAAGAAGGATCGTCTGCCTGCTGCATTTCCGGTGAGCAAAGATGACTTAAACCAGCCAGATTGCCCTCAGGAGAATTCTCAGAATAGCACAGAATTGCAAGATTTACAGCCCACCACTCCCATCACTGACAACCCTAGTATTACCAAAGCCGTGAAGAACAAACTGACCAGACTCAGTGGCACTGGTTTCAAGTCTGAGGAAGGTGATCTTAGGAGGGACCATTCTGCATTGAATGCCAGCAGCAGTTCCTTCGTGGCTGATGGGATCGTTACTGAAAGCCCCCTGAGTGGAGCAAGTAGCCACATATCATTCACAAGTAGTGAGAGCCTTGACCATGGACTAGATATTGTGGATCGAACGAAACGGAGAGTCTACTACATGGCCAGGCAGTACAGCCAGAAAATTAAAAGGGCCAATCAGCTGTTAAAGAGGAACCCTGGAGAGCAGTCGCCATCTGATCACCAGAAACAGAAATACAAAGACCTGGCGGCCATTCTGGAGGAGAAGAAACAAGGAGGTCCTGCTATTGGTAGGTGGAGGTTTTCAGGATACATGATCTATAATGTGTGTGTATGAGAGAGAAGGCATTTTTATAGTGCTTTCTATAAAACATCTCAAAGTGCTTCACAGTAGTTACTATTACTTAGTGACCGTTTTTTGGACACAGTCATTTTCTACAAGGCAAATTACACAAAAAAAGGCTAATTAATCTCAAGGATTGTTGATTAGGACACCAGGAGAAACTCCCTTCGCTTTTCAAGTAGTGTTGAGGAATCCATAACATCCACCTGAACAGACAAGATAGGTCCTCAATTTAACAACTCGTCTAAAAAGGATTGCTCTCCCCCACCCACACCCCACACCCTCACCTGACACTACAGCGCTCCTTGAGGCAAACTGAGGCAAACTACCAACTGAGGCAAACACCTTATGATGGAATTGTAGGATAAAGGGCTTGAAAGTTCTTTAGACTTCAGAGACTTTATTTTTTTAAATATTTCATAAAGTATCTTAAAGCCAGAAAATATTCCTGGATTGATGTCCACCAACTATTGTGTTGCTACAATTTCCCAATTGTTCAGTACCACACACAATGCCAATCAAACTTACAATGAAACTAGTTTGTGACTTGGGGGTCTAGACTTGCAAAACAATGTTAGTAAAACTGTTTATACCATCTGGGCAATATTGCCATGCATTCTAGATTGGTGAGTGAATACTATGTTGTCCATGTGTAAAATCAGACAGTGGTGTCTGTCTAGCATGTGGTTTATATTTTGAAATTTGTAACGTCTCATTTGCAAATTATTTGCATGTGCTAACGCTATGCAACACTGGGTTACACATTCAACCTCCAACACACTGATCCCAGTGTTTGAATGTCAGTGAATGAGATCTTGGTGTGTTTTTATTAAAGCTATATGGATTGTTCTTTCAAACAGCCACACGGACACGATAGGTTGAATGGTTGGCTTCTGTGCTATACATTTCTATGGTTCTAATTAGACCATAAGATGTAGGAGCAGGAGAGGCCATTCGGCCCCTCGAGACTGCCCCGCCATTTAATAAGATCATGGCTGATCTTCTAACCTAACTCCGCCCTATCCCCATATCCCTTAATCCCTCTATCCTTTAGAAATCTATCAACCTCAATCATATGTTCAAAGACTGAGCATCCACAGCCTTCTGGGGTAGAGAATTCCACAAATTCACTACCCTCTGAGTGAAGAAATGTTTCCTCAACTCAGTTTGAAAAGGCTGACCCTTAATCTTGAGACTATGACCCCTAGTTTTAGATTCTCCAACCAGGGGAAACAGTCTCACGGCATCTACCCTGCCAAGACCCGTAAGAATCTTATAGGTTTCTATAAGATCCCTCTAATTCTTCTATATTCTCGAAAATATAGGCCTACTTTACTCAACCTACCCTCATAGGTCAACCCCCTTATCCCAGGAACCAATCTAGTGAATCTACACTGCACCCCCTCCAAAGCGAATATGTCCTTTCTTAAATAAGGAGACCAAAACTGCACACAATAATCTAGGTGCGATCTCACCAAGGCCTCATACAACTGCAGCAAGTCTTCCCTATTCTTGTACTCTAACCTTTTGCAACAAAAGCCAAGGTGGCATTAGCCTTCCAAGTTGCTTGCTGTACCTGCATACTAACTTTTTGTGACTGGTGTACAAGGACACCCAAATTCCTTTGAACACTAACACTACCTAGTCTCTCCCCCTCTAGAAAATAATCTGCTTTTCTATTTTTACTATCTAGGTGAATAACTTCACATTTCCCCACGTGATACTCCATCTGCCACATTCTTTCCCACTCACCTAGTCTGTTTATTTCCCTTTGGCACTCCACTAGTCACATCCTGCCAAGCTAAGAAGGACCCTTTTATCCCTACTCTCTGTTTTCTTCCTGTTAGCCACTCTCCAATCCATGCTAATATATTACCTTTAATTCCATGGGCTCTAATTGTATGCAACAGCCTTTTATGTGGCACCTTGTCGAATCCCTTCTGGAAATTCAAATACACCACGTCTACTGGTTCCCTCCATCTAACCTGCTAGTTACATCCTCAAAAAACTCAGCAAGATTTGTTAAACATGATTTCCCGTTTGTAAAGCCATGTTGACTCTGCCTAATCATGTTATGATTTTCTAAGTACCCCATGATGACGTTCCTAATTAAGAACTCGAGACTTTTCCCTACCACCACTATCAGACTAACTGGTCTACAGTTCCCCATTTTTTGTCTCCCACTCTTCGTAAATATCGGTTCCAATCAACGGGAACCATTCCAGATTCCAGGGAATTTTGCAAGATCAAAAACAAAGCATCCACTATCTCTGCAGCCACCTCTTTTAAAACCCTAAGATGCAGGCCATCAGGTTCAGGGGATTTATTGGTTTTTAATCCTATCAATTTCTCTAGTACTATTGCTTTACTGATGTTCATTTCTTTAAGTCCCTCACTAACTCCAGGTTCCCCTCTATTTTTGGTGAGTTTTCAGTGTCCTCTAACGTAAAGACAGAAGCAAAATATTTGTTTAATGACTCTGCCATTTCCTTATTCCCCATTATAATTTCTCCTGTATCTGCCTGCAATGGACCCACACTCACTTTTGATAGTCCCTTCCTCTTTGTGTACTTATAAAAACTCTTACAATCTGTCTTTATGTTCCAAGCTAGTTTACCCTCATATTCCATTTTCTCCCTCTTAATCAGTTTCTTGGTTTTCCTTTGCTAATCGCTAAAGCCCTCCCAATCCTCAGGTTTACTGCTCTTATTGGCAGTATTATACGCCTCTTTTAATTTTATATTTTCCCTAACTTCTCTAGTTAGCCAAGGTTGAACCACTTTTCGGGTGGTATTTTTATTTTTCAAGGGAATATGTGATCGCTGGGAATTATGTATTATATCTTTAAATGTTTGCCATATTCTTTAATCTAATTTCCCAATCTATTTTAGCCAAATCTTCTCTCATACCTGCAAAGTAGGCTTTATTTAGATTTAAGACGCTTTCTTTGGATTCAACAATATCACCTAATGTTAAATTCCATCATGTTATGGTCACTCTGCCATAGAGGAGCCTTGACTTCCAGATTGCTGATTAGCCCTATTTCATTACACAAAACAAGATCTAGGATAACAACAACAACAACAAGATTCCATTTATTGAGCGCCTTTCACGTCGGGAGGACGTCCCAAGGCGCTGTACAGTTGGGTCAGGACCCGAGCAGGGGGGAAATGGTCAGGGTGAGGGGAGGGAAGGGAGGGGCGAGGAGGGGGTAGAGAGTCGAGAGGGGAGCTGAAGGCACGGTCAAAGAGAAAGGTCTTGAGACCGGCCTTGGAGGAGGAAAGGGAGGAGGCGGCGAAGGCACTGGGGGATAGAGTTCCAGAGCCTCGGGGCTGAGAGGCTGAAGGCCCGGCCACCGATGGTAGGGCGGTTGGGGCGGGGGATGTGGAGCAGACCGGAGCCGGAGGAACGGAGGGTACGGGCAGGTAGGTAGGGGGATAGTAGGTCAGAGAGGTAGGAGGGAGCAAGGCCGTGAATGGCCTTGTAGGTGAGGATGAGGATCTTGAATTCGATCCTCTGGGGGATGGGGAGCCTGTGGAGGCGAGCGAGGGTGGGAGTGATGTGGTCCCGAAGCCTGGTGCGGGACAGTACACGAGCTGCAGAGTTCTGAATGACCTGCAGCTTGTGGAGGGAGGTGGCGGGAAGGCCGGCGAGGAGAGAGTTCCCATAGTCCAGCCTTGAGGTGATAAAGGCGTGGACCAGAGTTTCAGCAGCGTGAGGGGTGAGGTAGTGCCGTAGTCTGGCGATGTTCCGGAGGTGATGGAAGGCGGTGCCAGTTGTGGCGCGGATATGAGGGAGAAAGGACAGCTCAGGGTCGAACAGAACCCTGAGGTTCCTGATGGCTTTGAGAGGTGGAGAGTGCAGCCTTGGATGCTGATGCTGTCAGTGCCTGAGGTGCGGAGGCGCTGACGTGAGCCAATCAGGAGGGCCTCAGTTTTGCGCACTTTGAGCTGGAGAAAGTTATCTCTCGTCCAGGACTCGATGTCGGACAGGCAGGCTGTCAGGACATCGGTGGTCGTGGAGTTGAGGGTAGAGGAGGAAAGGTAGAGTTGGGTGTCATCCGCATACATGTGGAGGTTAACCCCATGTCTGCGGATGTTGTCACCAAGGGGGAGCATATAGAGGGTGAAGAGGAGGGGACCGAGGACAGAGCCTTGAGGGACACCGCACGAGACAGTGCGGCGGCCGGAGGAAAAACCATTCGTGGAGATAAGGAGTGGAGTGGGGATGGGGTCAAGGGAGCAGGTGGTGGGTTTCAGGGATAGGATGAGTTTGGTGACAAGGGTGGGGAAACGGGTACGAAAGTGTGTAGGGGAGGATGGGTAGGAGTCGGAGTGTGGGAGGGAAGGGGTGGGGTGTGGGTGGATGTTGGAGGGGAAGTGACCGCGGAGCGAATTTCCTTGATTTTGGATTCAAGGATATCCAGCATCTCCTCGCAGTGAAGGTTGGAGGAGATGATCTGCGCGGGGTGGCGGGGGGGGACGGAGGAGTTGGGATGCGGTAGAGAACAGTAGCCTGGGGTTGTTCTTCGCCTCCAGGATTATCCTGGAGTAGAAGGACGATTTGGCCGAGGCTAGAGGTAGATTTTGAGGAGGTCCAGCCAGATTTGTCGGTGGACCGATAGGCCAGATTTGACCCAGGTGCGTTCAGCGGCCCGCACCTGGCTCTTCAGTGAGCAGAGGTGGGTGGTGAACCAGGGGGAGGAGCGAGAGTAGGAGACAGTACGGGAGGTGATGGGGGCAAGAGTGTCAAGTATGGAGGAGAGGGTGTTGTGGAGGAGGGTGAGAGCAGAAGAGGGGTCAGTGAGGGTTGAAGGCCAGAGGGAGAGGAGTTCAGAGGACTCCAAGGCAGCGGTTAGGTATTGTTAACCTGTTCCCTGGTTGGTTCCTCAGCATATTGTTCTAGAAAACTATCTCTAATGCATTCTGTAAACTCATCCTCTAATTTACTTTTGCCAATTTGGTTTTCCCAGTCTATATGAAGATAGAAATCACCTACTATTAGTGTATTCCCCTTGCTACATGCTCTTCTAATTTCCTGATTAATACCCTGCTCAATACTGTAACTGCTGTTTGGGGTCTGTAAACTACTCCCACCAGTGTTTTCTGCCCTTTGTTGTTTCCTACCTCAACCCATACTGACTCTACATCCTGATTTTCTGATTTAAAAGGAGGAGCGTATGAGGAGTGTTACAGATTGAAGTTTGAATTTAGATTGAAGCGACTCAGCTTAGACTCCACTTGGCACATCTTCTGCCAACACTAAAGTGCCTGTGAATTATTGCCATGTGGAGTATCATGTCCATGAACTGGCTGATTTTAAGAATATTCCACAATCTGGCAGCATCAAAGTTTTAGACAAAATGGTCTCACAGTCTCAGACTAGATGGAGTTTTGGGCTTCTGAAGATTGCTTTCAGAGAAATTAATTCTCAGCAGCCCCGAGTTGAATCATTTTGCTCCAGTTATCGGTTTCTAAAATTGGTGTTTCTTTCTCTGCTTATCTAATGATTTAATATTGTGTTTTCTTTCATCAGGAGCTAGAATTGCTGAATATTCCCAGTTGTACGACCAAATCGTATTCAGAGAAACAGCCTTGAAATCTCAAAACACTCTCAATGACTGCACTGGGGAGATGTTTGGTCTGAATTTGGAATCCCCTCTGTACTCTGGCTGTGATACTGAGAGGCAGTCTCTCAGTACGGATGATTGGTTCCTTCATTCCACGTATAGTAATGGAGAGCTGGCTGATTTTGTACCTTGGCCTAATGTTCAGGAACTTAAATCTAAATATGTGTCACCAGAGAAGAATGCGCAACTTCAGAGGAAACTCGCGTTAACTGGCTTGTCAACAATTGTGAATTCACCAGTTCCCTGTTCACCTGCCTACCCACAAGTCCTGACGCAAAGGTGGAGCACCATCATTAGCCCGCCAGATAAAGAAAACCTTTGCCAAGAACAGAATTACAACTCTTTGGGACGAAGGACATCAGCAGGAAAACCACAGCTCAGATCTCAGTCGTCCACTATTGGGGTCAGCCGTTCATCTGATTCGATAACCTATACATGTCAGTCAGAAGGGAACCTGCTTCGTGCCAGCAAAAGCTCCTCATTTGACAGACCTACCTCTATGGCCACTCGGAGCGTAGATAGTTTGGCATATGCAGGTGCACAGCAGCATTTCTGTACAGAAGCTCTGGGTGACAGTCATTCAGGATTAATCCTGCAGGATTCTCAGAAGGTCCTGGTTGTAAATAGGATTCCACCACTAGATGCGCAGACGGCAACACAGAACTACTTTGCAAACTTTAATGACACGGGGGAGGACGATGAAGACTATGTAGAAATCAAATCAGATGATGATTACGATGAGCTGGATGATGGGCCTCACACTCCAGATATGAGCTTTGAACCTCAAAGTAATGCAAAATCCACCCCCAAACATATCGCTTTTTCCAGCACAAGTGACTTGCATTCATTGAGCGCTCCCTGCACTCCGGTGACCAGTGACATCAATACATCAGAATCCTTGGCTGCACTTACTTCTCCGGACAAACTGGACGATTACTTATGGAGAGTCCCCTCTCCCACTCAACAGAATATTGTACAGACTCTAAGGGAAAAGTTTCAGTGTCTGAGCTCCAGCAGTTTTGCTTGAAAAGGTCCATTTTCTGTAGTTCACTTGATCTGTTCCAGAGAGACTGAAAAAGGGATACCCTAATGTATTAATATTTTATCACTGCTATATGATCTGCAAACCTCTTAAATGGTTATAAAATGCTCTATTACGCCACCTTGCTTGTGGTATCTTAGTTAGCAAAGCTTTATTTTAAACTGTGTATGTTGAATTAATAATGATGTGTGCTCACCTGGAAAATGAAGCATGTATCGGATACAGGGAAAAGACAAGAACCTAAGTCTAACCACCAGATGCACTGTCCTACAGGAATGCAGAGCTTGTATTATAATTGCTGCAATGTAATTGCTTTTGATGTGTTCCCACCGACTTGAAAGGTTTGCTCTAGGTTGGAATCTGGTCCAGTTGCCTCATTTGTAATAGATCCGACTGTTTTCACTGGTGAGGCTAAGTATTTGGGAAGAATTCTTTACAGCTCCCAAGACTACTTGGTTCAGTTTTGTGGAATTATATGTGCAGTTTTAGTTGTAAATTTCTCGTTCCAATGAATGACATGCAAGCTGTTGGGATGTGAGGAGGACGGCACAGCAGTGTGGGAATCCTATCAGTGTAGTTATGCAGTAACATAACTGCTTCATTGGTAATCAGCTGAAAACGACAACCTTGTTAGTTTATGAGACATAATGTTAATTGTCAAATAAAACTTCAGCTGCTGTGATACCAATACAGTGTCATGTTGGCACAATGGCCGGCTATCTGGTACTGTTGGCAGTTATTCCATCAAAACATAGCAACCACCAAATGCCCAAGTCACTTGTGCCATTAATTATATTTTTGTAAGTACCTATTTCGAACTACCAAACCCACAAAGCTATCAAGTTGCCACAAGGATACTGAGCTTTAGATACAGTAGTCATGTCATGAGCTATACCAATAAAAACCTCTGCTACCTGATGATTAAATAACCTGTGTTGTCTCTACCATAGAAAGCGGACAAGTGTTAGCCATTGATTGGTGTTTTTGTGCCAATGGTTTTCCAGCCTTGCAACTTATTCTCGTAATATAATTATTCATGGTTACTTCAAGAAATATAAAGGGAAGATAATGGTTCTTTGCAGTCCATTAACCTTTGCGTTGTCTCCCAACCCTCAAATGTTTAGTTCTTCTCTAAGTTTCCAAATTCCAAGACTGAGGGCGAGAAAGTGATTGGTTTCAGGGACTCTGCCACTTGTGGTCTGGGTTGTCTCACTTACCCTCTCTTTGTCAGGGAAGGGACCAATCTCTTTATCACCACCTGCCTCCTCGTAGACAGTCCAAAATTAGGAGGGCACTGAGAAAAGGATTGCAGCTGTGAACTCAATCTTACCCAGGGTTTATATTCCATCTTAATGCCTAAGGTTTGTCAATCTGGCATTGCTCGCATTTTATATGAGCAACACCTTTCTGGATCAATGGAAATACTCATTACCAATCACTTAATTATTCCCAGTAATAAAAATCACCAACTATGATCCAGATCACTTTCAGTACTCAGAGAAAGGCAAATTACTTACTTGCTCAAGATTCAAATACATTTAATTCTGGATTAATTTGTATCACCGTAGAATTCCAATATACCAGGCTGTTGGGATACACGTCTGTTCAGTAGAATTGTTGGTCCTGTCACGAATGCTCCATATTTAATTACTTATCAGGCTAAGTACACCAGTTAATTCAAATCCAAATTTCATCTACACACAAACGGACATAAAATGTATTTGCAGCCTTTTTAGACTGAATAATTAAATAGTAAATTTGTCTGCACTTATTAGAAATCAATTTCTTGAATATTTGTTTAATATTTGTTTGGATAAGACAGTCATTCATTTATCAAGATTTAACTATCATTTATTGAGCTACATAGTGTATTAGAACGTTATCTACAAGTCACAGTTGCATTTGTGAACACAAAAGTATCATTCAGGTCAGTAGTAATTTTGCAATTTATTCTACCCTTGAGCATGCATGTGTTGCTTTAGTTAATACCATTGAACCCAGATTGTAAGGACATTTATAAAGATGTATCAGACTTGCCAGCTTGCATATGCTTATATTGCTTCACATAGGGGAACGTGAACCGGTTCTGTGTGGCTGTGTGTGCAAAAGGAAAAAAAAATCTTGTGCTTTCTTTCAAATGTAGGCAATAGCTGTACATGTGGATTAGTCCAGGTAGCAATAACGCAACATATAATCGTGCAATATGATTCCCAATATTTGGTTTTTATCGTAATGCATCATTTATCATTTGTAATCTGTACAATTCGACAACCAAATGTAAGCTATCTTTTTTAAAAAATACGTATTTGTTCTGTTTTAAGCAAAAATGAAATGCACTGGGTGTGGTAACTTGAGTGGGAGCTTATAAGTATAAAAAACAATAGATGGGAGTGGACCTCTAAAGATAAAAATAGTTTGAAATTGTTCAATACTGGGTATAATTTTTATTGAAGTAACTATAGGTCAGTATTTTATTGTAATTTTGCTTCTCCACTGAAAGTTTGTTGTAGAATAATGTTGCTGAGAATCTTTTTTTAACTGAAGTGGGGTAGTGGTCAAGGAAATCTGGTATATATAGGAATAATTAATGTTTGGGATGTACGAGCTATTGTTTTTATAACTTCATTCCTTTAAGAAATATACTGTATAAAGTCCATTGCCAGCATAAGAATACTGTACTTCTCTAGCACAATAATAGCATAAGGGACCATGGATTAATTTTATTACAGCTGTGACATATGGTACTTTACAATTGAGCAGAGATGCATGTGTCTGGCTTAAAAAACTGATGTGGTTGTCAGGCTGATCAACTGCAACTGGATTTATCTGAGAGAGATGGCGTTCTACATCTTGTCCTATGGATGAGAGATTGACATGAATATTCTTCCCAGAACAGAATTTGCACTTTTATGGCTATTTTTGTAAAACTGTGTGATACAGTACTTGTAGAGAATTATTAAAATTGCTTGCTTATTAGTTTTAATCTGCTCCAAAGCTGAGCCTAATGCATGCCAAATGATGGAAATAATAGTTCAAACTCTTCACTTGTAACTATTTTTTAAAATAAAATGTTTTTGTCTGGAGATACAAACTGTACATTGTACAGATTTGGAATAAATAGCTTAACTGTTGATATGTGTGTCTATTGTATATTTTTTCCACTTTATTTTTCAAATGATTATGTACTTGTTTCACAACAAAAAGCAGAATCTATAATTACAGCCATGGTAAATGTCTGAATGTGTTAATTTCACAATAGTGGTTTAAATATCTTGAGCAACCAGCAGAACATCTGTTGAAATCGGTATGGTGCAATAGAGAAACCAATATCAGGCCCATGGGCATGTGAAACAGTGCTGTGGTGTGTCTGTTTCTCTTACGATCCATTTTCTCGCCTGTATGCAACATTTCCACCTCGCTTGACTCGAGTGAAATTGCATACCTTGTTATAACACAACCTAACTGCACTTCCACCTCTGAGTCCTGATGTGAATAAGAAGAGGTGTGGTTATCCAGTATGTGAAGGCCTGAAGCATATCGGTAAGAGCACTCGTCTCACAAGTGAGAGGACCTGGATCCAGGAGGGTGAAACCTTAGGCAAGTTTCCTTGCTCCACACCCCTGTTTACCTAGCAGCAAGCAGGAACCCGGTTGTTAGTCGATTGATGGATCACTTTTCTGGGGTTAATGATCCCTTCAAATAAATTTTAAAAAATTGGTCACTAAATCCACATCTGTTTGTGGGACACTACTGTGCGCAATTGGCTGCCGCATTTCGCCCACAAAGTATACAGTCAATTCACTTTACGGTATATTCTGTAAAGCTCTTTGAGACGTCTAGAAGACGTGATAAGGCACTATACCATAGTGTATAGAGGTGGCCTTAAACTTGAGGCTAAAACATTTGGAAGTGAAATGAAGAAGCATTTTTTCATGCAAATGTTGGTGGGAGGGTGGAATTCACATTGGGCAGTGGAGGCAGAGTCAATTGAAGAATTTAAAAGGCAAATAGATAAATGCTTGATAGACGGGGGTAACGAAGAATATGGAGACGGGGCAGGGATGATCAGCACGATCTTGCAAAGTGGTCAAACAGGCTAGATGGTCCCACCCTATGAAACTCCATCCCACAGTCCCTTCACCTCCTTCAAAGCAGATCTCAAGACCCTCCTCTTCGACCGCGCATTCAGCCACCTTCCTAGACCTACCCGCCCTGCCCTCCACCCTCCATGATCCCAAACCCCTGCTCAGATCCAAATCCCTGACTGTCCAGCGCCTTGGGATGTTCTCCTGAAGTGAAAGATGCTATGCAAATGTAATTTGGTATTGTATAATACACACATATCTTTTACTTGCTGACTCTGGATACTGCGAAAAAGCGGTTGATTGAACTCCTGAATACTTGGGACCATGGTTTGTGGGTCCAATTAACATTTTTTGTCTTTTAAAAGATTTAAATGCCTCATAGAAAATTTCAGATACAAATAAAATCAGATGCAAGGTATGCACTGTCTATAATTTATTCACAGAATACCCTGTTAGGCACAGCTGGTTACAGACCTCTCCAATTCATTGGAATTTATGACTTGAACCAATGTGAATAATTGCACACAGGCAACAGAGATCCATGAACATACAAGTGTCTAACCTAGCAGTAAATATTATGTGAGAGTTCAGGAAAGAACGAGGATGACGCCAGTATTTAAGTTGCTGGAAGACTGAATGATAAAAGACAATATTTAATGTACGTGAATGCAGGTTATTTGGAACCCAATTTAACAAGCTCTGGAAATACTAGAGCTTAAGAGGCCCTTCCCTCACCACAAAGTGGCCAAGAAATGGTGCAGATTCACAATAAAAATAGTTAACTGTTGAACTTCAAAAAAAAAGGATTGTTATGTATGAGTGGGGTATATTGGGATAGACATAAATGATGCAACACAGTGGTTCTCTTGATGCTGGAAACATTGAAAGCAAGTGGTCAATGTTGATTTAAGTTCCTGCCCCCCTCAATAGCTCAGTCGGCACAGAATTCCATACTCCGTGGCAACACTGACCAAGTGATATAACCCTTCACTCCCCTGAAAGGGTTGGTTAGAACATAAACATACAATTGGTTTAGTTTTCTTCAAAACTTCCAGATAGAAGCAATTCGGCAGAGTTTTCCCTCGGGATATTAGGAAACTGTTAATTTTAATAATTATAATAATAATCCTTGCATTTGATATAGCGTCTTATCACATCATTGAGACGTCTCAAAGCGCTTCGCAGAATAGGCTGTAAAGTGAATTGTGACTGTGTATTTTATGGGCGAATCGTTAACTGGGGATGTCATAAACTCACTGATAACGTAATGCCTTGTTCTGCCGCTCCCCGCAGATACCATCCGCTAATTGATTAATGATGTGATTTACGGGCGATATAAAAACACGTTTTGGGCCCGAACGTGAGGTACAAGCTTCCTTCCTTCCTGTAAGCGAGCCAAGTCAAGTCAAGTCACTGCCTCAAAAAAAAAGGATGTCAGGCCGGTTACTAAAGTTACTGTCGCCGCGCTCTTCAATTACCGCTTTAAAAATAGAACAGAAATAATGCTACAAAAGCGGCAAACCCAAGCACTGGGCAGTTTAGTCGTTTTTTTAAGCAAAAAGGCAGCAGACTGTGCAGTCACGTGCGGCAGATGCCAGGCTGAGAACAACAGGCCAGCTGTTCGCTGTGGGCCCCACCTCATGATGCACTCCCTGTGGGTCCCACACACCAGATCTAACGCTGCGGCGAGTGAAGGATAAGCTGTTTAAGCGGGGAGGGCAGCTCGGAACATCTCCGCTGACCAGCCCGCAAACCGAGAGGTGGTCAGTTAGTTAGTGCTGTGAGGGGAGGGGGTGGGTGGGGGGGGGGGGGGGAGGCTGGTGTGGGTGACAGTGTCAGCACCTGCCCTTCACCCAACCAGGGGGCGGGGCCAGTCAGTCACTCTCACACACACACACACACAGGGGAGGGAGCATTGCCCCTTTAAGCCGCCGGTAGCGTCAGCCCCGCCTCTCCTCGTGGTGCCGGTTTCCTCTCTCACACGCTCTCCCCTCACACTCACCCTCTCCCCCTCTCTCCAACTGTCTCTCTCACACTCCCTCTCTCCAATTGTCTCTCTCACACTCACTCTCTCCAACTGTCTCTCTCACATTGTCTCTCACACTCCTTCTCTCCCTCTCCAACTGTCTCTCTCACACTCCTCCCTCTCCAACTGTCTCTCTCACAATCACTCTCTCCCTCTCTCTCTGTCTCTCTCACACTCCCTCTCTCCCTCTCCAACTGTCTCTCTCACACTCACTCTCTCTCTAACTGTCTCTCTCCCTCTCTCCCTCTCCAACTGTCTCTCTCACACTCACTCTCTCCCTCTCCGTCTCTCTCACACTCCCTCTCTCCCTCTCCGTCTCTCTCACACTCCCTCTCTCTCTCCCTCTCTCTCTCTCTCCCTCCCTCCCTCTCCCCCCCCCCCCCTGTGTGTGTGATGGTGTCGCTGGCCCTGGCCGGGCTGGTGCGGGCTGTGCCGCGGCTGTTGCCGGGCTGCGGGGCTGTGGCCGCCGGGAGCCGCAGTGCGGGCGGGGGGGGGGTGCCGGGCTTCACGGCTGGAGAGGAGGCGGCGGCGGCGCGGGCGGGGAGACCGGGCCCCGGGACCAGCGGGATCCTCAGCTCCGCCAGGTAAACAACAACAACAACAGCACGGTGAGAGGTGTGCAGCGCCTTTCATGTCCACAACAACAACAACATGTTTCATGTCGGGAGGACATCACGTGGCGCTGAAAACATCAGCAAAGCCCCTCACTCCCCCCCCCCCCCCCCACCATTCTGCACCCCCCCCACCTTCACTCCCCCCCCTCCTTCACTCCCCCGTCCCCCTCCCTCACTACCCCCCCTCACTACCCCCCCCGTCCCCCTCCCTCACTACCCCCCCGTCCCCCTCCCTCACTACCCACCCCCGTTACCCTCCCTCACTACCCCCCCCTCACTACCCCCGTCCCCCCCACTCACTACCCCCTCACTCCCCCCCTCCCCCCCACTCACTACCCCCTCACTCCCCCCACTCACTACCCCCTCACTCCCCCCCACTCACTGCCCCTCACTCCCCCCGCCCCCCCCTCACTCCCCCCGCCCCCCCTCACTCCCCGCCCCCCCCCCTCACTCCCCCGTCCCCCCCTCACTCCCCCCGTCCCCCCTTCACTCCCCCCTTCCCCCTCACTCCCCCCGTCCCCCCCTCACTCCCCCCCCCGTCCTCCCCCCTCACTCCCCCCCCCCGT